TGTCTTTCTACAGAGCACTAAAATCCGCCTTAGATTAGGAACTAATAGCAAAAATGATTTAATGGGATTTTCTGAAGAAAAAAAAAACGAACAATGCCAGAAGACCTGAGAGAAAATGATCATCAAAGTTGCACTGGTGTACATTTTCAATGGCCCGCTCATACTCCTTGCTACGAAGGCCATTTGTGGGCATGCGCCCACAATTATGAATTTATTAGTGAAAAGGTCTATAATTATGGTTAACTAGCTGGAACCTAAAGGTCAATATCAAAAGGTGGATAATTGTATGAAAACTAGCATAGACCCTCTGAGAGATTTACAATAAGCTCAAAGACACAGAACAACGTACGTAGTTGAAAATAAAATCATTTTATGGAAATATAGCTCAGGAAATGTTCTTAAGTTTTAGAATTCGGTTATTTTTTAAGGGACCTGCCGACCGGGGCTTCTAGCCCCGAGTGTGTAAAGTCTGCTGGAAACCTAATAAGCCTAAAAGAGCAGGGGGAGTCCGCCCCCTCCGTCCAAGACATTTTGTCCATATTGCCGCAGTTTTTTATGTTAGGGATTGAGCCTTTAGGTGTTTTAGAGTAACTTTTTTTTGGTCGTTTTGACAAGAAGTTTGCGACAATCGAACTTTTTTTTTTCACTTTCAGCTTTTTTCACTGCGGTGCTCAATGCACGCGGGCTGGCACGCGTGTACTCTTGAACTTCAAATGAGCTCAACAACAAAACCATGCGTCAGAGGTCTAACTTCGCATTCTGAAATGATAAAGAGTGTCTTTATATGGATACCAAGTTTCAAAAAAACTAAGCAAGGACAACCAAGTTCTTGGGGGCAGAACCCCCCCCGACCCAGTCCCATACCTTACACTTTTAGGGTTAAAAAAAATTAATTATGCTTAAAATCGCAGAACATACTGATGTTGAACATGTGGAACTCTCCAGGGCCGTTCCAGAAGGCCACATTCTGTGCACTGTTACCAAGCTCCAGGCCCAAGTATAGACCCAAGGCTGAGAAAACGAGGGTGGCGCTGAGGCCCTGCCCGAGGAGGTTGATGCTCGACAGGTGCTTCCTGATCGCGTGCCAGAAAGCGCTGTAGCGACGCCGACTGTGGTTGGCCATGATGAAGCGGAACTCCCTCCACATGTAATCCATGTTGATCCCACCGACTGCCAGGGAGGGCAGAACGAAGAACATGATCTTCTGCGACCAGATGAGCAAGTTGAGCACGGGCAGCCCAGCCACTTGATTGGAATTGCAGTAGGTGAAGATGATATAGTTCCAGGTTAGGTGGGCGGTCAGCCCCCAGGTCGCCACAGCCATAGTAAAAGCCATCCAGGTGCCCACGAAGTTTCTCACGAGGCGATACTGGTGATAGGTGCTAGACAGTCGGTCTTTGGACACATCCACCCCCGCGTCTCCCCTGGGCGCGTTGCTAGCTACAAAGTGTGCCGCCACCCGGAACTCATTCTGGAACGATCTCCTTTGGGCGTAGACGAGATAACAGAACGAGCCGTAGACGACGTAAGAGGCCAAGGCGGTCCAGCGGCTAAGGAAGGCGTGGGTGTTCCAGACCGGTCGGTACACGTCGCCGTAGACGATCCTCAATACGCCGTTAAAGGTTGGCCAGACCAGGAAGACGCCAAGACTAAGGAAGGAGGCGGCGCCCGTTCCCGCCCGCAGAAACTGCGAGCGTTGGAAGACGAAGTCGTTGTGCAGGGCGGCCCAGGTGCATTCGGCAACCAGAAGTTGAGCCCAGGCCATGAAGCGGGTCAGCAGACCAAACATCGGGACCACGAGTACCTGGAAAAGGTAGGTGAAGTAGGAGACCAGGAACAAGACGTTTTGCTTTCTGCCCCAGAACTCTATGATGTAGATGGCAAAGTCGTAGGCCATGAGGCCAGTCAAGGTTAAGAGGTAAAGTAACATCACTCCATTGCAGAGAAGAGTCTTGATCTTTCCATCTGCATAATGAAAAATTCAGCACTTTTTTATACTGATGCCGATTTAGCGATACGGGCGTTTCACAATAGTGCGCCTCCAAGAGTTTACAATCCGTTGGCTAATCACAATGTGCGAAATATTTGTCGACTCAATGCACGTTTGGAAAGAGTCGACAAATTATGCGCGTTGTGATTGGCCAACGCGTTACAAACTCTTGGAGGCACACTATTGCGAATCGCCGGTATTACACATGCATACGAAAGTTATTTCTGAGCGGTTTCTCAACTTGGGTGAGTGCAACTGTTGACAAAAAACAAAGCTGTCTGGTATATGTGCGTGGTCACTTTATCATGGATCCAATTCACTGATTGCATGAATCAAAATCCAGCAGAGTCGGACACGATTGAAAAAAGGAGAGATTATATTCCATGTAATTAACTTTTACAGTCACGACGATACACTTTCAGATCATTCTGAGCCTAGTCACACTGGACATGGAAGGCGCCCTCTTGAATATGGAAGCCACCATCTTAGATAAGAACGTTCAATTCATTGGGTTTTGTTCAACTTTGGTGCACCGCCAATTCTTTGGTTGTAAACGTATTTGAGAAAGGGTTCTTATAGTTATGTTTCATTGCCATAGTTAACTAATGATGAATTATCAAAGGAGAGGAAATTTATAATAGCAAGATCCCCGATTATCAACATTATAACAATTCTAGCAGTTTTTATGCACAAATCAAAACAACATTGAGATTTTTTCCATGTCACCACAGTTAACACGTAAACATGTAAATTCACTGAATCGCCGTTAAAAACTCAAAATCTAAATTCAGTTTTTTTTACCATTGGTAAATTTTCAAGTACTGCTGTAAAAATTCACGGTAAAGACCTTGGGAACCGAATATCCTTGCAACTATACAGCTCTTAAATATATGATTAGCATTCGTTTCGGTTAATCTCATTAAAAAGTGTAAATTATTTAATTTAAGCATTTAACATTTTCTTTGTTTTTCCTGGCAAATCGAGGGCACTGTTAACGTAATGTTATTTCGGGATTGCATCTGTCATAGTAACTGTTTAGTCTGCCGTGTATGTTTTTCTACGGAGACCCGTGACTCGGAAACAACATCTGATAATGTTTATGTGAGCATGCAAATTTATGCAACCCTACATATTAGCCAATAAGAGTCGACTTTGGTAACTGTGACGTCATCTTAAGCTGATGTCTACAAAAGGCTGCTGTTTGGTTGTTTAATGTTGGCAGCTGACCATATTTCAGCTGACCAGATTTAGCTGGCCTTCGCGGAAAGCGTGTCTGTGTTGTGAGTGAGTCAGACCTGGTGTAAGAATAAAGCTTCTCTTTGGTTTTGGAGACCTTGGTAATTTTTTAAGAATTTGATTCTAGGATTTATTTTATGACCTTTTTAAAGAGAAAGCAACATATAAAACCAACGTAGACAACAAGCGGGGCCATAAATACCAAATACCAAAAGCGATCTACAAGTATACTGATCTCGAAAAGCGACTCTGACAAACACCAGTGTATATTTTTGTGCATGGAATCTTAAAAGGTCTGTCAAAATGTTTTAAAAACTTAATTTTGAAAATGTGGCTTCTTGGTCAGGGATCATTGGTTCTGCCGGTACCCCCTCGTAACCGAGATTCGTGATGTGTGGATATTTTTAGAGCGATATAGTTATAGAACACATATCCAGCGCCGGTTAATCTCTCTCTGACCAAATTAGAATTGACACTAATGAAACCGATGGGGATCAAAACATTTTGTAGGATTTGGAAGAAAGTCAGACCCGTAAATTAGTCTGCCAGTTCGGTTGTCTTCATCCCGCTCTTTAATGGTAAACTTATCCCCTTCCACAATAATTTCACCGGCTTTTACACTAAACACACCCAACAGAGTGGGTTTCGAAATCGAAATCGGAAGTGGAAATAAGAGATACATAATTTTTTTGTAGCTTCAGGCGATCTTTTACAAACAGTGTAACATCCCACTCAAATGAAACTGAATTTTGATGTGCCATGATTTGAAAAACAAACATTATACTTTTACTTTTGAGGTCGTTTCCTGTGGGAAAGAAACTGCTGTGAGACAAAGTCAGGCACTGGTCGAACTAAAAAAAAAAAAAAAAAATGAAGCTCGTGGTGGATCCAGGATTTACAGGAAAGGGTGGAGTAGCATATCTTACAAATAGCATATCTTACAAAAAGGGGGTGCGTGGAGCGCCTAAAAGGGCGGGAAAATCCGAACATACGTTGCTGGAATTTGTATTCTTATCTTGGTGAAAGACTCCATCGGTTTATCAGACTTTTTGATGGATGACCAGAAGACGCAAAGTTGATTTTTAGAATTATACTAGTCGTTTTGTACTATACATTACAGATAAGTTATAATTGAAATCAACATGCTGCATCTTTTTTACAATTAGTGCTGAGTCTGTTCACAGTTGCCTGCTATCCAGCGTGCCGCGCTGACTCTACCCATATACGACGCGCGGTCATGGACTATTCAGCAACAGGTTTTGGTGCCCGCCTAACTCACACGCACATTCTTCAGCTTGACGCGCGCGTGCATTTGGCAAATCACGACACCCTATTGGTCGAAGAGGCATGTAACGCGCGCGTACCACCTGTTCACTTGCGTTGTGCCACCGCAGTAATGGCTGCTAATTCTGCTGGTCGAATTACACTATAGCGATGTTTATATTTGATTAGTGCCAGTTTCTTTCATATCTTGCATCAATAAGTAGACATAACTATTCAAGAACAAATTTGTTGGTATCTTTTCTGGAAAAAAAAATGCTTTTGTGATAAATAATCTTTTTAGAATAATGTAAACACCCCCTTTAGTGAATGGGACTGTGGTTGTTTCGAATAAACGTTCAATTAACCAATCGAACTGCCCTAAAGTGAATATTCATATCATGGGGATTCTTATCCAATCAGAGTGCTCCCTCCAATTTTGATACCGGGTAGCAGGCCTCATATGCTGTGCACAAAAGGGCTTCCGAGCACGGCCGTACCACACATATTGGGGAGTGAGGTTGCACTAATCGGTCCCGCGTGTTATCAAAGCACCGCGTACGCATCGCGAGGAAGGTGGACTATACCCGGACAATTACCGACTTGATTTCAAGTCTACAGATATGTATACCATATGGGAAAGGAGAATTTGTTTTACAACATCCCCTTAGCTTTCTGGCATGCCATTTGCTGTAGGCTACAGTAGTTCAATGTTTGCTGAAGTTATCGCATTCCTAGTTTGCGTTATTGTTTACAAACTTAACCGTTTTCCAGTTTTGACCTAGCGATATTCATTTTGGTGAGTTAAAATAAGTAAAGATTTTACCTTATTTCATTTTGTGTGGTTTTAGTTCTACGTTGTCTGGTCACCTTTCCTAATAGAATGACAGGATACAATCTCTCTCTTTTGAGAGGTTCAGTCAACAAAATCTGGTGAGAGGAAGTACTGAAACCTCCTCGCTGCATGAAAAAATGTCGGCCTCCTTAGTAAATTCATGCCCTTAAATTAAGAGAGAAAGAAAACAAAAGGGTTGAGGTGAATCTACCTCCCCTTTTAAAATCGGGGGATTTCTCTGCTCTCACAACGCCTACGTACTATGTGGAAACCAACGGGAAACCACAGGGAGATGGTAAAGTTACGCAATAACAATAACCTCTGGTGTTAAAATCAACTTGAACACTCTTTGGTGTTATCAGATGACCGCACCATACTTTAACACAACTGGTGTTACTTTGCGCATCTACAAGTGTAACAATACACTGGAAGGTGTTAAAAGTAACACCAAATAACACCAAAATTTTTAACACCAGTGAAAAGTGTTGGTATAGTCCTCTGATAACACTGGGGTGTTATATTTTACACCCGAGTTTTTTTGCAGTATGGTAATTCTTTAATGGACTAGGAACAGTTTGAAGTAAAATTACCAAGAATATTTAGTTATTCCAAGTTTTTGGAGACGTTTATGGTTAAAAAATATTCACACAGTTGTCTTCTAGAAAACCTTGCCAAAAACCCCTAAGGCCCAATTATTTTTTATTTATTTATTAATCTCGTGCGGGGTCAATCTGCGCATTATCAGCAAGAAACTGCTGAAGTCAAGATCAGTGGCTTATTCAGTGCAGTGGGAAGGTGCGTAGGGGCGCGCAAAGTGACCACCTTCAGTGGACACATGTTACTGTTTATATTTATGTTAGGATATGAAAGGAAGAAACACTGTAGAAACAGGCCTTACACGCTCCTTTTACGGTTGGTAAAAGGTTGGATAATACATGAAGTTTCAGAGAAATTCATGTGACCCCTCCGGACTCAAAACCGGAATATACGCCACTGGTCGAGATGCATGCTTAGTAGGCCTACTAACCTGAAGTATGAAATGCACCATAATAGTTGTTACATATATCACACTGCGTGCCATCCAGGTAGCACTCCTCATTTCCAACGCTCTGACTCCAGCTCAGCTGACCCCTGCTCAACCAGACCTGCTCAGCTTCATCGTTCCCACTAACCTCAGCCGGTCCCTCGCCGCTGTGTACTGCGCTCGACATATCGTTGGTATTCCCGATGCAGTCTACCGAACGCGCGCTGCTTGGCTGGTGGGAGTAGACACGGGGTAGTGGCCGTCGGCCGCACTTTCCCCCTTGGCCAGAGGCGCGCTGGAGGGCCCCGGGTCGCCAGAGGCCCAACATGCACAGGGCTACCACCAGTGGGCGCGGCCAGGGTTGAAGCTTCCCAGGATATCCATTTTGGCTCATCGGTCTCGAAGAAGACACTAAGGGTGTTTCTTCCGTGCTGGCGCTTGATTTGTACACTGCGTCACTGCCAGCCATCTTTGGCTCACAATGAAAGTTGAAAGCTCTACGGTGCAGCTTTTTATCGGAGGATCTCGGGTTTATCCTCTTGTCTCGATTTTGTTTTCATTTTAGGCATTAAGTGTCTGTCGAAATGGCATGCACTGACACAGCACATGAACCATCACTTTGATGCAATACCGTATACCGACTCGGATTCTTGGAATCCCCGCGAAGCGACTGCAGTGGAGACTAAAAGTGTTAAACGAAGCCTAGCCAGGTCAGTTCTCCGTCCATGCATAATGATGAGTCCTGCTGTCCGGCATATTACATGTACATATATGGTGGGATATCCAAGTTATGGTTTTATACAGCACCCGAAGTATATCCTTTGTCATCTGATCGATGGGGTCGTATTTCAAGTGTCATCAAGTTATTCCGTAGGCTTACATTCAACATTGCAACTGTTAACACCTGTTAATGGAGCTGAGTACCGTTGAACCCCTTAGCAACAAGGAATTATCAAGTGCAATAGTGGCGTCAATTTAGAGGTGATCTGTGAAGTATTGGGGTGAAAGGGACTTTTTGGCAATTCTGGGAGGCAAGGGTCGGACATTTACCCACGGACGTTGGGGAAAATAACAAACAATTTAGGTTTGGCTCAAGGACCCCTTTCCACTTTATGTACCTATTTCAGCGACTCAAGAAGGGATTTCAAGTATCCTCTTTAGGTTGAGATAATTATGAAGGCTTAATATGGCAGAAAAACGTAATAAACCTAAAAGAAATCTAAAAAAGGCACCTCTTGCTAAAATGACTTTTTCAGACGATCGGTTGGTTTTGGGAGTGTTTGAAAGAAATATGGACATCCCTGTTGAGCATGGTTTCTCACTACGTGAATTAGTGACCTTCTTTCCATTCAACAAGACCATATAATGCAAACAGAACTTTCACAAGGACAAAGCATCAACATTGTAGCAATGCTGAGAAGCGGTTAGTTTTTCTAAGCTTGTGAAACCAAATTTTTGTTTCGCTTTTGTTCTGTTTGAGTGGACGATGTGCATCAAGTGAAACCCGGCACTCGTGGTTGAATATCCTTCTTTCACGCAGCCCTGCTAAAAGTAGCGTCACGCACAGCGGGAAGTCGGGCACGAAGCCTGGCATCCGCAGGGGAATTCCAATCTTAAAAACTATCACAACCCGATTCGTAAGTGACTTGGTCACAAAGGGGGATGCGCCACGATTTGCAGGCTGAAGCTGCGCGTTAACTTCCGGTTCCATGGTTCCATGTAAACGGCGATCAAAGCATGCATATGGCTCTGTGTGCAGTAGTTGGCTTGGTTTAAACTGAAGTGACGTTACACGAACACGATAGTGAACCCCTTCAAACTTTTGCTGGGCTCCGAGCTAAACCAAGGGAGAGCGCAATTTTCCTAGCAACGGAGGCTCCCTTAGTGGTAACTGCGCATCGCTGGTTCGCGAATGACTATGTAACGTAAGCGTTGCAGTCGCATCGCTACCAACAAATTGAGCACTCCCGACCAAAATGACCTTTTTTTCAACTGATGAAGGGGTGCTCCTGCTCAGGGCAGATTATCACCAAGGACCGACCCAAGTGGCAACTCTGTGCAGTTTATTATTGCGAAGCAGCATCCAGGTATCAGGGAAGTGGAAGTGATCTTGAAAAACTGGCTGCAGGGTCGAGGTCAATTCGTGTCGTCTTTAGTGCTCGAAGTTACGGGATCCGGGAAGTGACAAAATCTAATCTGGTGAAAAATACATTTGCTTTCTCTTTTAAAGACTAAAACGCCCCACCTTTCAACCTTCCCAGATAGCATGTACAGTGAACGTTTTTACACCTTGTCCCCAAGCACCCCCCGACACACACAAATCTCGGTAGGGTTACAATTCATTGTGAGATAGTGTGCCATATGGGGGCGCCGGGATTATCCACTGAGGATTTTATTCCCGACGGTGTTTTTAGTGTTTGAAAAAACAATGGACTAAATTCATATTTTCTAGTCCGACACTAGATATTAAGTTAATTGTAGGGGAAAACATGGAACTTAAGAGCTTTATTTCTTAATTTTTTTCCTTCTGTTCTCCGACCCTGCAAACTTCCATGCTGTTATGCTCGTAATCTTGTATATAAAAATGCTGGCATAATGAACAAAACTAATAAAGCCTTCATCA